CGATGTGTAGACAATATCGGCACAGTTCCTCACGCGCGCAATGCAAAATCTTGAATGTTCTTTGAAATCTCGAAGCTACGCGCGGTTGCGAAATTAAAAGGAAACGAATATAATTCGTTCACTGCCCCCCGCCCCGCACAGCTCGCAAAAGAGTTTTTGCTCGGCCCAATCGTTTTAACACGTATCAATACGGGAAGAAGCGTCTCACTTTCAATCCGCGCCGTCGCTGAGACTGTTCGCTCGAATGTCAATTAAGCTATACTATTGTATTACGGTCACGGACGCGCCGACGCCGCGACGTGCCGACAACGACGGCGTGACGGACGAACGACGACGACGACGGCTGGACGACGGCGACGACGGCACGGCGACGCACGACGATCGATGATGACGACGACGATGATGACAGATGACGACGACGACCCGACGACCTCGACGCGACGACGACGACGACGACAACGACGACGACGACAACGACAGACGACGACGACGAATCGACGGCCTCTACAGCTGTGCAGATGTCAGCGATACAAGTGGCGCTACTGAGCAATGCGCGTCCGGTTTATAGCCAGCCGGCGCCGTGAGGCAAACGACACGCCGCCCACTAAAAGTTGCACTTAGCGGGATTTCAGAACCTAACAGACGTGCGGCTTTGCGAGGACTGGCCCCCACTGCGGCGTGCCGGCGGTGCGTCTCCTTCCCCGTGCGATATGCATACTGCTATACTGTGTGGATGGACTGGATGGCACGGCGACGGGACGAGCGGTGTGCTTAGCGACACTCCACGCATTAAACAAACACCGATGTCGTCGGCCTAATGCCAATCACCTTGGAATCACACACGCGCCACACGTGACTACGCACACACACACACAACACCACACAACACACCACACACACCACACACACACACCACACACACACGACACAACAGGAACCCCTCTCCCCGTACAACACACACACGACCCCCACCTCACCCCACCCCACACGCACATCCGTGCATCATCCCTACACTTATTCGCATCTCCCGCCCAGGTCGATTCGAACCACTAGGAGGCGGTTCGTCCCTGACGGAGTGCGTGTGAACTTGTTGCTGACATAGAGCGACCGTCTTCGCGTGCCTCGATATACTTCTTCGCACGTTCTCCTCGCAGTTCTAGTCACAGTATTACACTAGGCGAGCGTGACGACTCACACACGCCCAGGCGACGGCGCGCAGCTCGTCGTTAATATTGCTCACCTGAGCGCCTCGGATAGTTGTGCGCGGGGGTCTGAATACTGCTTGGGGTGGGTGCGGGGCCCGGGGCGGCCCGCCAGCACGAGCGGTGCTGTTTGTTAATTGCCGTGTTCCAGCCGACCTGGGCAACGGTCTACGTAATTACTGACTGTAAAGTCGAGAACTCTGCTTCCCAAGTGTCGATACGTCTCTCTTCTCTCTCGCGAGCCGCTGGAGCGCTCTCCTCTCTTTCTCTCTCGCTCTCTCTCTCTCCGCGCGCTTCTCTCTCTCTCTCTCTCTCTCTCTTCTCTCTATATTTCTGCTTCGCTCTCTCTCGCGCTCTCTCGCTCTCTCTCGCGCCTCTTCTCGCTTCTCTCTCTCCCTCTCTCTCTCTCTCGTTCTCTCTCTCGCTTTCTCTCTCTCTTGCTCTTCTTTCTTGAGTTCGATTTCTTCCCTTACCTCTACCTCGCCGCGACTGTCTCTCTCATATTTTAAGCATCACTTACGGCTTCTCACTTTTTCTTTATACCATCCGTTCTCTTCTCTTATTCCCATTCTCTCTCTCTGCTCTCTCTCTCTCTCTCTCTCTCTCTCTCTCTCTCTCTTTCGTCCTCCTTCTCTCTCTCACTCTCATCCTACTCTCTCTCTGCCTATCTTTCTCTGGCTACTCTCGTCTCTCTCTCCTCTCTCTCTCTCTCGTCTCTTCTCTCTCTCTCTCTCTCCTTCTCGCTCTCTCTCTCCTCTCTGACTCTCGCTCCCTTTCTCTCTCTCTGTCTCTCTCTTTCTCTCTGTCTCTCTCTCTTTCGGACTCTCGCTTCTCTCTCTTTTGACATATCTCTCCTCTCTTCTCTCTCTCTGCTCGCTTCTCTCTCTCTCATCTCTCTCTCTCCCACACACACCACACACACCAACACACACACACACACACACACACACACACACACACACACACACCGACACACACACAGGCCCCACGTATCTATCTCAGGCTTCTTTCTCTCGCTCTTCGCCGCGCAGATAATATCTCCCTCTCTCTCTCACTCTGTCTCTGTCTCCCTCTCTCCTTCCCTCTCCCCTCCTACTCGCTCGCTCATCGCAATTTCCTTCCTTCACGCAGCTTGTCGGAGTTCAGCGATGAGAATATGATGATTCCTACAACCTGCGCATCTGTTCGTTCGGCCCCACGCTGCTGCCCCATAGAAATGAAAGACCAGGTAAATTAGGTAATCAGGTATATAGTAACCTAGGTATATAGGTCAACCTGGTAAATAGGCTAACCAGGTAACATAGGTAACCGAGCTATATACCCGGTAACCTGTAAATACGGTAACTCAGGTAAATAGGTCACCTGTATATAGGTAACGCAAGGTAAATACGGTAAGAAATGAACGACCAGGTAAATAGGTAACCAGGTAAATAGGTAACCTGGTAAATAGGTAACCAGGTAAATAGGTAACCAGGTAAATAGGTAACCTGGTAAATAGGTAACCAGGTATCCGCATCTTCTGCCACCATTGTCGCCGCGGCTGTTCGCGGTTGGAGAGCAAAGCAATCAGCTTCTTCTTCCTTGGCTTCTCTCTGTCTACGACTCTCACCTCTTCCTTGACTTTTCTCTCTCTTTTTGTAGAAATCAACGAGACCAGGTAACTGCGGTTGTAGCAAAGCAATCAACGCAATCAGGCCTCTCGTTCTTTGGTTTCTCTATCTGCATGTGACTCTCGACTCTTGGCGTAGCTGGCCGAAAAGATCCCCCCAATTGAATTTCATATCGAGAGATTTTTGCAAAGGGATTCCTTTTTTGTAGAACGCATAATGATATTTATTACGGGGGGTTTGCGTTTATTAGTTCATAAACAGTCATCAATGTTTTCATCACAAATTCTCGAAATTGTGCCACCGAGGGGCGCCAGTGTCTACATCTGTTCTCGTTTCTGCACAGCGCACATATATATATATATATATATATATATATATATAATAGACTACCTTTATATATATTATATACACTACATATATATATATATATATATATATATATGGGGGGGGGCTTACGTGTTCGTACAATGCTATAGCGTGACGTAAGCTAGCGAGCTGGGGTAAAATATAAACACTGTATATAACCAGCCTCGTGCGTGCGTTATTTCTCCCACAGCTACACCAGCAGAATGCTATCATCGAGCTGATGAAGAACATGTTAGTCTATCACGAGGAGATATTCCCCAAGGATGTTACCGGTGCAACCTACGAGAAGTACTTTCTCTCGCCAGGAGACGAAGGGTGCGTTCGAGAACTGTATAGATGCTGGAACGAACAGCGCGCAGATTTTGTTCGTGTTCGCTTTTCGTATGTTCGTGGTTGTTCTTTATTTTCGCATGTATTTGTGGTTGTTCCTTAGTTTGTGTTATATCTGTGGATGTTCGTCGGTTTGTCGTGTATTTGTGGTTGTTCATAGGTTTGTTCTATACCCTTTTAGGTGTTGTCTATTTTATCCGAGAGTTGTGGCTGTTCCTTAGTTTAGCATATGTTCGCGGCTGTTCCCTAGTTTGTCCTATAGTCCTGGTTGTTTCCTGTTATATCCTATAATTGTATTTGTTTCCCGACCTTTCATATACTCGTGGGTATTTCTCAATATATCCTTTAGTTGTGACTGTTCTAACTTGTCGTAAACGATTACTGTAGTTGGTTTCTAGTTTAACCAGCGCAGATATGCCTACCGTGTTTGGGCTTCCCACTTATCTTTTATTCCACTATTCGAACTAGCAGTGCACTTTTTTCACAAATATGCCGCGTTTCATCTATGTACGTTACACAATAAACAATCTAAATATTATTCCGACGATTAATGCCGATTCAGGCACGTTGCTATGGATACAATTCGTCATGCAAATCTGTCGGCGCGACATAATGCTTATTGTGATAACGCTAATACGTCACGTCATATATACACGATAAAAAGAATTTCCCCGAGTAACGGAAGCCATACGAGATCAATATTTTAGTCGCATTTTATTGTCTTGATGGGGTCGCACCCGTGCAACGCATCTCCTGCAAAACAAACACGACAGATCTGCTATCGTTCTCGACATTGCACCGCGCCTCTGCATACATCATTGATAGCGCGTCATTTGTAACGAACACTCGGAGGGAAAACGTGAATAATTTATCCGGATTAGCTGATCGATATGTCGCGTGGTTGTTATCTTGAACTGCGGTTCCATTGTTGTGTGTGTGTGTGTGTGTGTGTGTGTGTGTGTGTGTGTGTGTGTGTGTGTGTGTGTGTGTACCTTGCCGAAAAAGAATCGATACGTTCCGCAGGAGCGGAAGAGCTTTTGATCAATTACCAGTAAACTGTTGTTATCGAATTAAGGCGCAATGCGTACGGACGCTCTGCGTCTGTAATTCAGCCCCTTTGATGATGTGCTGTTTGTTCTTAGTGACCACTATCACTGTCACATCATAGACCGGGCTCAAGAATTCCGGCGTTCGGGTTAGGGGAAGGTTGGTTTACGCCTTGTGCGTGTGTGCCCGTGCCCGCGTTCGTTCGTTCGTTCGTTCGGGCATGTATACATGCCTACGTGCGTGCGTGCGTGCGTGCGCGCGCGCGTGCTGCGTTAATGTGCGTGCGTGCTCGCGTGCGTCATGTGTGTGTGTGTGTGTGTGTGTGTGTGTGTGTGTGTGTGTGTGTTTGCGTTCGCCCTTTCGTGCGTGCGTGCGTTCGTGCGTGCGTGCGTGCGTGCGTGGTGCGTTTATGTACGTGCGCGCGCGTTCGTGCGTGCGTGCTTTCGTGCGTGCGTGCGTGCATATGGTAGCATTAGTGCTCGTGTGACATCGGCTTGGTGATTCTTTGCTGCAGCTGAAGCAAACTTTCATAACAACGATTATAGTTAATAAGCGCGTCAAACAGGTAATGCGTGGCGAAGCACAGTCATGTCACCAGGACGACGAACGAGTTAGAAGCAGACGACATCTGCTGCAGTCGCTAGCAGACAGCAGAAATTCACCGCACGAAATAGAAACAGGAGTATCTACAGGAAACAGACTATATATATATATTATACATTCCTGGTAGAATCGGAATAATTTTTAATTATTTATGCCTCTTGTAGCTCCTAGATTTTTTAAACGTTTTTAATTCCAAGTTGCACGTAACGCAAAACTGTATTTCGAATTTAAATTTTAGAGGCGGAGAAATGCACAGAACACGCCGCGAACCGATTGAAATCCCCGTTGTTGCAGACGTGAACACGTGCTATCAATGTTAATGAGAACAAATTACTACACAAGTGACAGCAACGCGTCTCAACGATTGGATTCTCCCGTTCGCCCGCGACCACTGTTTAAAGATTCCTAGCGGACGCGTTTCTAAAACAACCAAAGCCCCTTTACGGTACGTTACTAAAGTTCTCAAGTGCTTCAAACGACGGTTATACACCCGGTCGGATAATGCGACTGAATTTTTTTGCATTAAATACAAACGTTTCAGATTATAGTAAATAGATAAACTCAATCCGTCGCGCAAATTCTGGGGGAAATCCTGATAAGTATTGCGCGGTAATTCTGGGCACGCGTGCAAGTAATTCTTGCTTTAATATCCTTTCTCGCTCGTCTCAACGCTGACTCAACATGTATATGAAGGTATTGGTCGCTACACAAGCGAGGAGCGTCTCCTTACATCCACCGTCACCCGCAGCCCCCGTTGCGTCGACGGCGTCGACGGCGACGACGGCGACGACGGCGACGACGACGAAGATGATGACGACGACGACGACGACGACGACGATAACGACGGCGACGGCGACGACGACGAAGATGATGACGACGACGACGACGACGACAACGACGACGGCGACGGCGACGACGACGACGACAACGACGGCGACGGCGACGACGACGAAGATGATGACGACGACGACGACGACAACGATAACGACGGCGACGGCGACGACGACGAAGATGATGACTGGGTTGTGTGCGCGCCATTTTATACATTCGAATGGTTTTCTCTCTCATGCAGGTGTCAGTGGATTGGTGGCAGGGTAGCATCGAGGGAAAGGAAGGTCTCGTGCCGGATAAATACATAGCTGTTGCAAAATCGAGGTGCGTACATAATCATACAGACACGTTTGACAACCGTCACTCTACGGCTTCCTTGATTTGAATTTGATTTGAATTTGATTCGAATTTGAATTTGAATTCGAAATTGGATTGAAATAATTTGAATTTGATTCTTCTCGCATTGAGTTACAACCGTCAACTCTACCGCGTCCGTGATTGAGATTTGAATTCGAATTGAATTTGAATTTGAAATTGAATTGAAATCATTTGAATTTGACTCTTCTCGCATTGAGTTACAATATTGGATAAACGACATTCGTTAGACGGGCTGTCATCCTTGCAGACTTTACTAGGAATGTGAAAATTCTAGGAAATCTTTCCTAACATGCTGGAGGGCAACTGAACGTTGTTAGTAACATCACGATCGGTTATGACTGCTGTTATAGATCTAAAATGTCATAACCTTTGAAGTTGTGGAAGTTTAAAAGCAAAGATTATGACATTTTAGAGCTATGAAGGTCATGTCAATTATTTGTGGTTTTTCTGACAACGGGGTACCTGATTTTCTTTCCTCCGTAACATACATTGCTGTGTTCTTTCCTCCGTAACATACATTGCTGTGTTCTTTCCTCCGTAACATACATTGCTGTGTTCTTTCCTCCGTAACATACATTGCTGTGTTCTTTCCTC